AAAAAAAAAAAAAAGAATCATGGTATTGATTAGAATACAAAATGGTTAACCTGTCCTTGAGGGCTCGATAGTTTTCGAGCCCACGTGTGGTGAGGTTGATAGGCTCCCATTGCAATCTCAGTGTCTCGAGTGCCCTCCATGGACCGTTGGTTAATGTTTGCAGACCCCAATATCACATACTCATCGTCCACGATCATCCCTTTCGAGTGAACGTAAATCATGAATCTACGGTTTTTTCGGCTAAGTCCCTGAAAATTCAAAATAAATAAATAAATAAATAAATGAACAAAGCACAATAAAGCTCAAATCTTTGAAATGGAGTTAAAATATGTTTGCAGAATTACCTGAGGATTATTTGTGGGAGGTTGAGTCTCAGAAAAATCATTAGCTTCGACAGCCTCACGATTTCCTAGGCAATAAAAATTCAAATAATCTTGAGGCGAATAAGCATCTTCGAGCCCAACTTCCACCAAAGCTTTGTATATAGTTTCATACATCATTTGCATCGTCTTATTCTGGAGACGACGAAAAAGTAAAAAAGAAGAAAAAAAAAAAAAACGAATAAAGAAATATATCGATCAACGCTAAGTCCAAATGAAACTGCAAGGTTAACTAAGGAACCTGCATTTACAGCATATCGACATTCATTTTACAATATTAATCACTTTTATCTATTTCAGTGCAAACCTGCCAGAATAAGATCCTCTGTGTGGCGGCTCCTGTAGGATTGCCTTCGGGCCACATAGGTATGACGATATAAGCAGCGAATCTCTCATGGGCTCGTATTTTTTCGGCTATTTTTAGCGCGATTTCCATTGGGATCAAATTATTAGCACCTGAAGAGTGGAATGTTATCAAACATAAAATATGTATATTAAAATAAAATGACGAAAGAAGAAGGAGAGAGAGAGAGAGAGAGAGAGAGAGAGAGAGAGAGATTCTTACCGACATCTTTGTATTGGTTCCAATTGTACGAGGACCCAATGAAATACTGATTTTCAATGTATATGAAGTGTTGTGCGGCACGAATGGCCTTCACATATGCTGTATGAATGCTCATGTCTATAAGAACGTTCTTTCCACATACCAAGTTCTGTATCATATTATATAACAATCAAAAAATTGTAAGGTCAATCAAAATATTGTAAGGTCAATGAAAAATTTAAATCTAAAGAGCGAAAATCAAACTCTGAATTCAGACATTTTGTCATTTTTACTATTATTATTCTTACCCGCATTGTCCCCTCTTTAGGATCCTTTGGAAAGCCTTTGACAGAGTTCGAGTCAATCGATCGGAAAATCTGAAAAATCGAAACAAATTATGAAAAATATCTGTTCTTTTTCCCACATTTAAAGTTCAGACAACGGAAAAATCAACTTTTTTTTTTACCTGGCAATGCCAACCCTCGGGATCTTCGTCACTCACGCACGGAGCATCAGACAAACCCAATATTTCGGGCATTCTTTCTATCCGCAGCAAAGCATCATCGTACGAAATCTTGAGTTTTTTAATCCCGTGAGGCTTTGAGGCTTTTAGCCACCGCTCCTCGAAATTAGACAAAACATCGTATGCTGCGGGCCCGTCAATCTTACAGTGCAGATCGTGCCATGGCTCTCTTGGACAACCAGCCACATTTCCCTGTTCAAGATGTAATAAACAATAAGAATTGAAAAACTTAAAATTCGAAACACCTAAAGAAAATATTTTGAGTAGCAATTGTGCATTTACACAATATTAAAAACAGAAAAATAATTAAAGTACCGCGTAAGTTGGGTTGTGATAGTCATCCGAGTGCAAAGTTTGCAGAGTTCTAAAAATATGGTGCTCGGGAGTATCATATCGGCCATCACACAAATCGAGCCCTCCCAAGAAAGCTATTATTCTTCTTCTGTTATTTCCGGCATCAGCATCGACCACAACCGTTTTCTGGTGGTGCGTGTAAATCACCCCAACTTCCTAATCACGAAATTGCAATAATAAATTTAATCCCCCATATATATATTTTTCTTTTTTGTCACGAATCGGAAATTTTTATTTCAGATGACCTTGTGATTAATTTGGAAGTCATTAAACGTATCAATCAAACGCAAGGTCAACCGAACTCTTGAAAATAAGGCAGGATTTAGAAAAGCAGTCTTAAAAGAAATACGTAATGAACTTTTATACAACAAATTTCTAATGCCTTTGACATGAACATAATAATACAATACGAAACTTGAACTAAGAGATTTAAATTGATTAATCAGAAGAAACCATACCCTCTGCTTAACCCAACTGTGACGCTTTCCAGCCACTCTAGGACAAAGCAGCACTTGAACAGAAGAATGTTTGAAAAAACGGCGAGTTTCTTCATCATGAGTTTGCATGACTCCGTCCTGAAAAAAAAAAAA